GAAGGGGGAACATGATGAACCATGATGGGAGTGGTGGCTCCCACGTGGAGCACCGACCACCCTCCAGGCTCCTCCTGCGTCCACGGGCAAGGATGGAGTGGTTTGGGTTGGGAGGGACCGTCAAGACCAGCTCTGGGGGTCCATGCCGGGCGGGTGGGCAGCTGCTGACCCTTCCCTCGTGCAGGTACGACTCGCTGACGGGGGTGCCGTCCCACCAGCGCGCTCTGGCCTTCGAGAAGGGCAGCGTCCTCTTCAACCTGGGCGCCCTGCTCACCCAGATCGGGGCGCGCCAGGCCCGCGCCGCCCTGCCCGGCCTCAACCAGGCCATCGACGCCTTCCAGAGGGCAGCGGGTACGTGGGGACCTCCGGCATCATCAGCACCCACCCCCGGGCAGGGGAGGGGAGCCGGGGGATGGGGAATGAATCCTGGGGGGGATTGGAGGGAAAGGATGGTGAGTGATGGCTGCTTGTGTGTATATATATATATATAATGTTTGTAAATATATACACTATATATATATTATATATAGTATATATATATTATGTTATATATACTATATATAGCATATGTACTATATATTCTATATGTAGTAGAAAGTATATATAGTATATATATTTTATATTCTTTATATAATAGAGAGTATATGTAATATATATAGTATATATATTATACTATATATAGTAGAGAATATGTGTACTATATATAGAATATATAGTAGAGAGTATATATAATACATATACTATATATATTCTGTGTACTATATAGAGACTATATATAATGCATATACTATATATATCATAGTGTATATAATATATATACTATATATAATATATAGAGAATATATACTATATATACTATGCATAAAACATATAGTGCCTACATTATATTTTATGTTTTATATACAGTAAGATACTAGTGAATATGTAATAAATGCTAATATATATGATCATATGTTAATATAATATGAATGTAAATAAACTATTAGATAGTATAGTATACACTATTATATATTATATGTAATATATATAGTATATATATAGTAAATATAATATACATACCATAGGTAATATATATCATAATGTATAGTAGATATATACATAAAAGATACATATATGTAAAATATACTAATGCTATACAATATATGTTTTATACATAATATAGACAATATATACTATAGTATATTGTATATACTATTATGTATTAAATAATATATTAATATACTATTATATACTATAGTATAATATATATACACTATTGTATATCATCATAATATAAAATATTTAGGTAATATAATAATATATATTTTATTTTATTACATATTATAATGTTCTATGTAATATATAATTGAATAATACATTCTATATATTATTATATAGAATATTGTATTCTGTATATAATATAGAATCATATCATATCTAATTAGATAATAGATATAATATATATTATGCATATTAAGTATATATATTTTATACATATTATTTGAGAACAGTTTGGTTTCAAAGGAAAACAGGGGTGAAGCCATTTTGGGGGTTGTCATCTGTAGTCATCCAGCAACATTAAAGCATAAAAATGACACTTTTGTGTCCCTTGAACGTGTAAGGGAAGGAAGAGAAGGAAAGGAAAGCCATCACTGTTCCCATCTATCTCCACATATTCCTGCTGGATGCAGTGATGAACCTGGGTGGTTGAAGCTCCATGTGTGCTGGCTGAAGTGGTGGCCACAATCCCATCAGAGGGGTGGTCTCCATCCCTCGGGGGTGGGGGACACCTGCCATGGGGGTGACATGTTGGATGCGTGGGTGGAGTTTCTCCTGCACTACTGGTGGGGATCCAAAAATCTGACCCTGCTGCTTCCGAGCCCGGTGACCCCCAAGGAGCTTCTCCCTCGTGCAGGTGCCTTTAACTACTTGAAGGAGAACTTCTCCAACGCTCCCAGCCTGGATATGAGCGCCCCTTCCTTGGACATGCTGGTGAGGCTGATGGTGGCCCAGGTGCAGGAGTGTGTCTTTGAGAAGATGACCTTGCTCCGTGCCCAGAACGACTTCCTGGCCCGGCTGCAGCTGGCTCAGGAGGCAGCAAAGGTGAGGATTTTGGGGAGGAGAGGATTTCATGGAATCAGCTGGGTTGGAAAAGACCCCGGAGATGGTCGAGTCCAAGCCATGCCCCAACCCCACCTTGTCCCCCAGCCCATGGCACTGAGTGCCACATCCAGGCTCTGCTTCAGCACCCCCAGGGACGGGGACTCCACCCTTTTCCCTGGGCAGCCCATCCCAAGGGCTGAGCCCTCTCCCTGGAAAGAACTTCTTCCTGATATCCAACCTAACCCTGCCCTGGCACAGCTCAGGGCTGTGTCCCCTTGTCCTGGGAGCACAGCCCAACCCTTCCCCCCAGCTCCTCCCTCCTGTCAGGGGCTTTTGGAGAGTGCTGAGGTGTCCCCTGAGCCTCCTCCTCTCCAGGCTGAGCCCCCCCAGCTCCCTCAGCCTCTCCTCATGGCAATTGTGCTCCAGTCCCTTCCCCAGCCTCGTTGCTCTTCTCTGCCCCTGCTCCAGCCCCTCCATGTCCTTGCTGAGCTGAGGGCCCAGAGCTGGACACAGCACTCCA